TTACAGTTCTTTGAGAATAAGGTCCATAGTGCTCCCTCTGGTACTAGCAACCTACGTCGGGAATGTGCGCTGCTGTCTTCAAGGCCACTGGCAAGCTCAGGAATGAGAGATGGTAACAAAGTTAAAACACCATAAAAAAACCAAAACCCGTTGCCATTGAGTCTGCTCCTACTCATAGTGACCCTACAGGACAGAGTAGAACTGCCCCATAGGGTTTCCAAGGAGTGGCTGGTGGATTCGAACTGCCGACCTTTCAGTTAGCAGCCAAGCTCTTAACCATGGCCTCGGAAACCCTATGGGGCAGTTTACTCTGTCTTATAGGGTCGCTATGAAGCAGAATCCACCCGACGGCGACAGATTTGGTTTTGGAGCCCTGGTGGCACAGTGGTTAAGAGCTTGGTTGCTAACCAAGAGGTCGGCAGTTCGAATCTGCCAGCTGCTCCTTGGAAACCCTACAGGACAGTTCTACTCTGTCCTATGGGTCGCTATAAGTTGGAATCAACTTGACGGCAACAGGTTTTTGTTTTTGTTTTTTTTAGCACTGTCTTACCAAAAATTAGCAGTTTTTTTCCTTCATTAAGTGTTCCCCTGGGTGTTGTTTTTTTTATTAGATTCCATAATTGCAAAAAATTTGACTCTGAGTTTTGCCAGCTTATTTGTTACTTTTGTGGAGTGTCTTAGCTAGTGCTGCTGTAACACAAATATCACAAGTGGGTGGCTTTGTTGTTGCTGTTAGTTGCCATTGAGTTGATTTCAACTCATGATGACCCATGTGTGCAGAGTGGAACTGCTCCCTAGGGTTTTCTAGGCTGTAAACTTCCAGAAGCATATCGCTAGGCCTGTCTTCCAAGGCACCTTTGGGTGGGTTTGAACAGCCAACTTTTCTAGCACTTAACCATTTGCATCACCCCGGGACTCCTGGATGGCTTTAAAAAACAAATTAATTTTCTCATAGTTCTGGAGGTTACAAGTCTAAATTAGGGTCTCAGCTGTGTCAATTCCTTCCTTGTTGGTAGCCTCAGGCATTTCTTGGTTCTTAACAATCTTCACAGGGCATCTGTCTTCCTCAGTATGCGTGTTCTTGTCTCTGTGTCTATGTTGCTATTTAGATAACTCAGAATGATTAGGTTTAGGATCCGCCCTACACTGGTATGACCTCAAGAGACTGATCACATTATATTAGTTTGCATTGTGTAAAGTGATTACATTAGATTGTTGTTGTTTTTCGGTGCCGTTGAGTTGGTTCTGACTCATAGTGACCCCATGTACAACAGAATGAACAACTGCCCAATGCTGCACCACCCTCTCGATCATTGTTATGCTTGAGTCCATTGTTATAGCCACTGTGTCAATCCATCTCGTTTAGGGTTCTGTCTTTTTTTTGCTGACCCTCTACTTTACCAAGCATATGTCCTTCTCCAGGGACTGATCCTTCCTGATAACATGTCCAAAGTATGTGAGATGAAGTCTCGCCATTCTTGCTTCTAAGGAGCATTCTGGTTGTACTTCTTCCAAGACAGATTTGTTTGTTCTTCTGGCAGTCCATTCAATATTCTTCACCATCACCACAATTCAAAGGCATCAATTCTTCTTCTGTCTTCCTTATTCATCGTCCAGCTTTCACATGCATATGAGGCAACTGAAAAACATCATAGCTTGGGTCAGGCGCACCTTCGTCTTCAAGGTGACATCTTTGCTTTTCAACACTTTTAAGAGGTCTTTTGCAGCAGATTTGCCCAATGCAATGCATCATTTGATTTCTTGACTGCTGCTTCCATGTGTGTTGATTGTGGATCCAAGTAAAATGAAATCCTTGACAACCTCAATCTTTTCTCCATTTATCATGATGTTGCTTATTGGTCCATTTGTAAGGATTTTTGTTGTCTTTATTTTGAGGTGTAATCCATACTGAAGGTTGTGGTCTTTGATCTTCATCAGTAAGTGCTTCAAGTCTTCTTCACTTTCAGCAAGCAAGGTTGTGTCATCTGCATATCACAGGTTGTTAATAAGTCTTCCTCCAATCATGATGCTGAATTCTTTTTCACATAGTCCAGCTTCTTGCATTATTTGCTCAGCATACAGATTGAATAAATATGGTGAAAGGATACAACCCTGACACACACCTTTCCTGACTTTAAACCACACAGTATCCCCTTACTCTATTCAAATGACTGCCTCTTGATCTATGTACAGGTTCCTCATGAGCACAATTAAGAGTTCTGGAATTCCCATTCTTCGCAATGTCATCTATAACTTATTATAATCCACATAGTCGAATGCCTTTGCATAGTCAATAAAACACAGGTAAACATCTTTCTGGTATTCTCTGCTTTCAGCCAGGATCCATCTGAAATCAGCAATGATACCCCTGGTTCCATGTCCAATCCTGACTCCAGCTTGAATTTCTGGCAGTTCCCTGTGGATATATTGCTGCAGCCGCTCTTGAATAATCTTCAGCAGAATTTTACTTGCATATGATATTGTTCAATAATTTCTGCATTCTTTGGATCACCTTTCTTGGGAATAGGCATAAATATAGATCTCTTCCAGTTGGTTGGCCAGGTAGCTGTCTTCCAAATATCTTGGCATAGACAAGTGAGCACTTCTAGCGCTGCGTCTGTTTGTTGAAACATCTCGATTGGTATTCCATCAGTTCCTGAAGCCTTGTTTTTCACCAATGCCTTCAGTGTAGCTTGGACTTCTTCCTTCAGTACCATCGGCTCCTGATCATACGCTACCTCCTGAAATGGTTGAACGTAGACCAATTCTTTTTGGTATAGTGACTCTGGGTATTCTCTCCATCTTCTTTTGATGCTTCCTGCATCGTTTTGTATTTTCCCTGTAGAATCCTTCAATATTGCAACTCAAGGCTTGAATTTTTTCTTCACTTCTTTCAGCTTGAAAAATGCCGAGCAGGTTCTTCCCTTTTGGTTTTCCATCTCCAGCTCTTTGCACATGTCATTATAATACTTTCTCTTCTTGAGCTGCCCTTTGAAATCTTCTGTTCAACTCTTTTACTTCATCATTTCTCCCTGTTGCTTTAGCTACTTGACATTCAAGAGCAAGTTTCAGAGTTTCTTCTGACATCCATTACACCAGATTAGATTGCATTATATCACACCCATAGGTATAAACCAAATAAAACAAACCCACTGCCGTAGAATCAATTCCGACCATAGCGACCCTAAAGAACAGAGCAGAACTGTCCCCACAGGGTTTCCAAGGTTGTAAATCTTTACGAAAGCAGACTGCCACATCCTCTCCCGTGGAGGGGCTGATGGGTTTGAACTGCCTACCTTTAGGTTAGCAGCCTAGTGCTTTAATCACTGTGCCACCAAGGCTTCTTTTCACAGGTATAAGCCTATTGCCATCGAGTCGATTCTGACTTACAGGGATCCTATAGGACAGAGTAGAACTGCCTTATAGGGTTTCCAAGGCGGGGCTGGTGGATTTGAACTGCTGACCTTTTGGTTAGCACCCATAGCACTGGGCCACCAGGGCTCCTCCAGAGGTATACAGGCCAGGATTTCAATCTATGTATTTTAGGGGACACAATTCAATCCATAACATGGAGGGATGGAGTTTTGCCGTCCTCTCTTTTGCCATGGAGCCCTGGTAGTGGTTAAGAGCTCACCTGCTAACCAAATGGTCAGTAGTTCGAGTCCACCAGCTGCTCTTTTTAAACCCTATGGGGCAGTTCTACTCTGTCCTGTAGGGTTGCTATCAGTCAAAACCAACTCAACAGCAAAGGGTTTTGGTCCTCTGCCATATTTGCTGATGTCACTCCAAACCATTTACATTGTGCTTCCCAGCCTCGCCTAAATTTTTCTCAGTCTGGAATGCAGAGAAAGAAGAAAATTTTGTTATCACTGAAGCAATCAAAAGAATGTTGGGCTGATTTGAAGGCAAGGCCAAAAGAGGAGTTGCCAAAGTTTTTGAACAAGGATAGCATCAGCAAAATAAATTATCTGCAGAGATGATTGCCTTAAAGGCAACATTCATTATACACCTAGCCTTGCATTTGTCAACCCTTCAATAACAGAGGCAGTGTTCGGTGGTGTTTGAAAGCACAGGCTTTGGGATAAGACCTTACTTTGAATTCCAGCTATTCTGCCATTCAGTAGTTATTTGACCTTGGGTAAGTCAATTAAATTCCCTAGGACTGTTGCCTGTCTGTAAAATAGAGATAATAGATACCTCTAGAATTGTGATAAAGACTTAGATTATACATAAGATGCTTGCACTCAATATTAGTTGTTAACTTGGATTTTTATGTTTGGGTTCCTTTTTTTGTAACACATTACAATTACATTGTTTTGTTGTTGTTTGTTCTTTATGTGTCTGTTTTTTTTTTTTTTTTTTAAGCCACTGTCTTCCTATACAAGAAAAACTTTAGGGGTAACCAAAAGTTTTGGGGAATGGACAGAGGACTTAAACCTGTGAGCTGACTTTTCATAGCAAGCAC